TCTATCTATCTATCTATCTATCTATCTATTTATCTATCTATCTATCTATCTATCTATCTATCTATCTATCTATATTTCTTTCTATCTATCTATCCATTGTAAGACAGACAGACAGACAGACAGACAGACAGACAGACAGACAGACAGACAGACAGACAGACAGTAATAAAGCCTCAACTTCAGTCAAAGAAACACTCTATCCTTAAATAAAAAAGAAGAAAATAATTATCTCGCAATGGTTATTGGGATTACTGTAATGCACAAAGGCGTTCCCTTCAGCTTGCGCAGCTTCCCTTTACGAGGGGACGTAACCCTGTAAATACTTACTTCAAAAGGTACGTCATCTTTATTGTACCTACATACATTATGTACTTTAATTTGTCTCTCGCTTATTCCGTGAGGTATCTCTAGTGTCCGAGACGTCGGGGGGGGGTTGTTTTTTTTGGTGTTTTTTTTGGTTTTTGTGTGTGTTTTTTAAATTTTAAATAATTGTATTACGGCGCTTGCAAAGGCACAAGGTGATACGAGCGCGCAGCACACATTAAACTTTTTCAGCATGTAGGAAACTTTTAATTTTGCCCGGGTGGTGGCCGAAGCCTACTCTCATCGATGTTAGACCACCAAGGGATCTTGAACGTGCGCAACTTGCACACTGACCCTCCCGAGAAGGCTAGCCGTAGATCTCTCCTACCAGAAGATCAGAGGTGTGGCTGAAGCACAGCAGTAAAAGGGAGACAAGGAGTAGCAGTAGAAAGGCTGCAGAAAGAGTCAGGAGCACAGAGGAGGGGGCAGAGGGGGTGAGAGGCGGGGGCAGAAACTTAAGACGAAAGCAGACGACAGAATAACGCAAGAGACCAGGAAAGGAGGCCAAAGGAGACAATGTTAGAGAAGAAAATGTTTCCGTCGCTGCCCGGATTCGAACCCGGGTCTTTTGAATGAGAGGCGAACACCTTAAACTCTAGACCACGAGAGCCCCCTGAGACATCAGGTCTAGGTAAACTCATAAGCCTCCTGCCTGGGGCCAGCTTTTACTACTTCCTCAATCAATCCACCTTTTAGTGAGTCTTCCTCTCATTCGGCAGCCAGGTTTTTATATGATTGTGTTGTTGATTTTTAGGAAAAGTTGGTTGAACGACATTCGCGTTGAGTTGTTCCGTTTATACCTGCAGCAATAATGTGTAATTATGCTGGTTATTTCAGTTGCATACTGCAGTCACAGTGTGCTGAACTTGACTTATATTGAAGTGTGTTGCATCGTGGTGAAATCAGGTGTTCGTCAAAATAATGAAATCGAAGAAATTGACATATTTCAGCACTTTTTTTCCTATTTCCATCAATTTTTGTTTGGTTTTGGACTCAGCACCTTTAATTCCATTTAAAACCACTTTCTTTCGTGGATTTTATTGAAAACCCTTGATAAAATATTATGCCCAAGAAATGTAAGTTTACCGTTTCCAAGGACACTACACATTTAGAAGTCACCAAACTTTGGTAGCCATTTTCTCACTAATCTTATCTTTTACCCCATGTAGCCCAAACCTTCAAATGCAAATATACCAAATTCTATGTAAGATACATGAGTATTTTTTTCATCATAAACCAAGTCAAATAAACAGGCTTTAAGATTATAACATACCAATAACTCCTTCGTCCCCAAAACTGGGGAGCGCCTATTTCCACCGCGTCATTACATCGAACTATCTTCGCCTTAGATGCCTCCCGAATCAGAAGACCAAGCCAGTCTGTACTGTCATAAACTATAATAAGCTTTTGTTAGTGCGTTATTTCGATGCACTATGAATAATATAGAATACCGTGGGCTTACTTTTGTGTCTCCTTTCATAATCAAATCAAGTTAGGGTTTTTGTTGTTGTTGCTTTGTTGTTTTGTTTTGTTTTTTATTTTTTTATTTTGTTTTTGTTGTTGCTGGTGGGTTTGCTTTATTCGTTGCTTTTGCTTTTTTTTTTTTTTTTTCTTGTTTTGTTTTGTTTTCGTTTGCTGTTTGTTACTTTTCATTTATCTTTTAAAGGGAGGGAAAGGTGTGTGTTTAAAAGTTTTCAAGTAACCAGCTACACAGGGCATAGTGCCATCAAATGACTTCCACAAGTAAGCGAGTGTCACCAAGAATTACGCTTTTTACTTCAAACTCTGTCCTCAGGAAAGCTAAACTGACTGCTATCATCGGAACCGTCGGCTGTCTGCTCCTCTTCGTCATCATTATCCCGGGCGCCATGGCCAGTCTGCACGTGCTCACCAGCTCAGAGTTCAAGGCCTTCTTGATGATCCTTCAAATCTGGACATTCGTTATGGCCTGTATCGTCATTGTGTTAGTACCAGTCGAGGAAATCTGGACAATTGTGAAGCAAATGAGGAAGCGGACGCTATTTTAATTTTTTTTTTCCCCTCCTTCTTTTGGGGGGGAGGAGGAGGTGTGGGAGGTGGGGATGTGCAGTCACCTTGACATTGGTCAAGTTGAAGATTTCACTTTCTGAACCTAGATGTGATCGTCTAACTTCATTATCCTATATAGGATTCACACTTTGGTCCGTTTTGACTTTGAATGATATGAAAGTTAAATGACACGTAATTTTCCTTTTAAATTCTGGGAGGGGGGGGGGTTGATTTTTTACTTTGTATGTTGTTGGTGCTTTGGTGGCTGGTTTGACAGCCGATTTTGCTGATCGGGCGCAAAAAGGCCAAGTTGGGAACAACACAAATAAATAATAAGGTTTATTAACGTACCCCAGGTTCAATATTATTACTGATATTATTTTCATTGTACTTACATATCATAGACCGGAGCTCACCAATGCATTTTATCCGTATCTACTAAAGGTGTTCATTCCATTATATCACAGAATCATTGTAACAAAATGTGTATATTATTTATTTATCTGTCGCTGTTGTTGTAAAGTTGTTGGTGGTAGTGGTAGTGGTGGTGGCTTTTTTATTAGTTTGTTTCTTTTTTTTTTTTTTTTTTGAGTGCGGTTATTGTAGCTAAGAACATATTGTTACATGTATCTAGTGAAAAACATAATCCAGATGCAAAACCATGTATTTTTACGAACATATGGTATGGCTCATGTATTGTTTAAAATTGCAATAAAGAGTATAGATCTAAATAATTAAAAGACTCCTCGAGTATTTCATAAGCGTTATTCCATGTCTTCATTAGTCTACCAATTCTTTGATATCAGAAGTGATGCTGATACTTTTGTGTTACCGCTAGAAGTAGAAATAGTGATAACAATAATGATAATAATAATAATAATGATAATAATAATAAT